GGCATGAGCTTGTTTAATCCAGAAAAAAAGGGAAATGTATAAGGTGCCTTTGCATTTCCGTATATTTCATGCTGCTCAATGAATTTGTGAAATCTACAAATGATAATTTTGAAATATTTATCTTCCTCCCACTATCCAGAGTAGTGTGTGGTGGTTTACAATCCATAATTCTAATGATTTCAATAAATTTTGAAGCCGTTACACCTCAGTTCAAGCAAAATGCAGAAAAGCCAGATCTTCCCTGATAGCTCTAAATTATAAATGATAGCAGCAGCTAGATTCTAATGAAATCTTCCTTCCCTTGTTTAATCAAGTTTCCACTGTGCATTTCTTTCAAAAAGATGTGTTAATGGGCTTGCACTCATCATGAGCAATAGTACTTTAACACAAACTGTTAACTCTGTAAGATACAGGATGTTTGACAAGGATAACAATTCAGTTTAGACACAAGCAAAACCAAATAAATATAACGGCTACTGTACATAATTTCTTTCTTACAAGAGTTGTAAAGCAAAATAGAACAAGTTTAGCACAGAACAAATCTTTCACAATTTTTTGAGGAGCATTAAATTGAAAAAACAGGGTATACTTAAAGATGGAGGGAATAGATAATACACATCAACATATGCAACCAAAAGAAGAGACCTTTATAAAAGAGATATGAGCACCATGTCCACCCAAATATCTCTCCCACAATACAAATTAATCCTCAGCTTGCTTTTCTCAACATCTTTGTTTATATGTAGTTATTGAAATGATGTATGTGGTTACCCACATAATGACTCTGGGTAGCTAATAAAGAGTTAAAAACATCAAAACAAAATAGCTAATAAAATGTACTATAATAAAGCACAGTGAATGCCAAGGGTTAGGTTTATCCAATACTCTAGTGCAGGGCTTTTCAACCAGTGGTACGGGTACCATCTGTGGTACATTGGCACCTGGCAGGTGGTACGTGGCCATTCTATAAAAGTGATAGTGGGGGAGGGGAATGAGCTGAATTGGTGGTAGCACCGCACAAGCCTGAGAGAGAGATGGCTGGAGCTGCAGGCTGTCAGGGCTCAGCAGAAGCGCCAGGATCAGTGCCGCTTTCCAGCTGATCGGCACTTCTTCGGGGCTGTCAGGGCTCAGTGGAAGCGCCAGGATCAGTGCCAGGCTCCAGCTGGAGCTCGGTGCTGATCCTGGTGCTTCTGCTGAGCCCTGAAGAAGCACCAATCAGTTGGAAAGCAGCACTGATCCTGGCACTTCTGCTGAGCCCAGAAGAAGCGCTGATCAGCTGGAATGTTGCAGCATCTCCAGGGCCTTGTGATTTACATTCAGATGATTGTCAACTGATTCATATTTATGATGGTCACAGTGTCCCAGGGTCATGTGAATTGACCAAAACCTGCTGCAACCACCCAGCAGACGGGGGGAATAAAAACCAAACACCCCCCACCCCACCTCCGCTGCCAATCCTCAATAGAAATGCTCACAACAATGAAAACCTTGGACAGGAGGAAGAGCGCCGCCGGGCGCTGTCTTGCTTGGCTGTGGCTTGGGGGGCACTTTTTTCAGTGCCATTGTAACTTCGAACAGTCACTAAGCAAACTGTTGTAAGTCGAGGATTACCTGTACTTTATCACTTTTTTCCTTTTTGGGGGCGGGGGCATCAAGTTTTTGAGACCTTGCTAGGCGACTGGTGGTACTCGGATGTTGCCATATCCTAAAAGTGGTACAGTGGGTGAAAAGGTTGAAAAGCCCTGCTCTAGTACATTGTTGAGGAGAAAAAAAAAGAATTTTACCAAATCTTGTTGGCTTTTTTACCTGATTAAAAGCCAACAAGATTTGAGCCACCTGAATTTCTGGAGATATACTATAGATTGAGTGACAGAAAAACTCCACCTCCTGGGTCCAGCTAGTTGACATTGTTTTACAGAAGCCACCCAAGGCAAGCCCACTCTGCTGGAACCTGTGGAACAGGCAGAGACAATTTGAGACTTGGAGGACCCACGGATAATCTGGCCTGAAGGGCTGTAGAGGTAGTAACCAGCATTTTGAATTGCATTTGGAAACTTATAGGGAACCTGTGTTAACTTCTGATGCAGTGATGATACTATGGTGCATTCATAACTACTGGGACCAATGCATTCTGGATTACATGCAGTTTCTAGGAATCTAGGTGGTCTTCAAGACAAGCCCCATGTAAAATATATTATAGTAGTCCAAATGGGAATTAACCAAGACCTGAGTGACTGTGAGCATATTTTCCCGACCCTGAAATGGGCACAATTGGCACATAATTGTCTCTCTTTTCCCAGCTGAGTATCTGCCAGCCTGATAAGAGTGGGAAAAGAATTACATTTAGGCACTCTTATTGCCACACAGTACCCCTTAACAAGGGCTCTTACCCACGTTCAGTTGGATTTGCTCTTTGTTTTCTTCCAGCAACATCTAGCTCATCTGAAAACTAGAGGCTCTTTGAAATCCCCAAGCAGAGAAGAGTCTCCTCCAGTGTGATTTAATCCAAGGTCAAATGCACCCATCATTCCTATATCAAAGTTAATTATATTAAATTTTATTGTTATATTATCAAATAACTAGTAACAGGTAGTGTCACCCTAGTGTCCCAGATACCCTCTGGAAAAGATTCATTTTAACCTACCGTATTTCTAGAAAGCAACTAAAAGGAAACTGGCCTCAAACTTAAGTGGGAGGCCATTCCATAACAAAAACACCATCAGTGAAAAACAAAGCCTGCAAGCCTTACTAGACCTTCAGCTCCCAGAAGTGGGGTACAAAACACAGTTTCTGCTGGAGTTATTACATCAGAGTAGTTAATTCTGGTTAGAAGGGGTGGTCCTGTAAATTTCTATATGCAAAGCCATTCGAACCGCAGTTTGAACCATACTTGGAAACTAGCTGAAAGGCAACGCAAGGCCAGCAGCACAGGTGTGGTGTACTTATTCAGCACCAGATAATACGTATCTCCTGCATTTTGAACTAACTGCAGTTTCCAAGTCTTCAAAGGCATGTTATATACAACATATTGTAGTTATCAACTTGCATAGATATGGAGGCATGAGTTACTATTGTAACATCCGCTCACCCTGTACAGTTAGGTATCATCAGCATATTGGTGATACTGTACTCCAAAATAATGGATGATCTCTCCAGCAGCTTCCTAGCAGACAGATATGGAGGCTGAATGATATAAAAGGCCAGATTCTTAGTGGGCCTTTTAAGAAGAGGTTTCAATGCTATGGGCAATGTGCTATCCCACAGAGTCATTGACCACTTCCCAACTAGTCATATCTCCAGACCCATGAAATTAACTTGAAGGAGAAGGATTAAGCCCACAGATATCACAGGCTATGCTGGGAAATGCCCTCTTCATATCACTGTCACACTGTCACACACTTCATATCACACTGTCACACATGCCAAAGGAGTCCCAAATAACATGACTAGACATTGTCGTGGTCATCATTTCTTCTAGATACAGTCAAGTTTTCTCCTTGAAAATAGAAAATAGAAAAATAGAAAAATTTTATTTTGTAACAATAGAAAATAGAAAAATAGAAAAAATAGCATCTAATTTTGTAACAATAGAAAATAGAAAAGAAATACAAACACTTAAAAACTTTAAGATGTGCAGGGACCCATTTCTTGGTTAACATAATGGCAGGTGGCATATTCTTGTCTACTCTGCTTTTTAATTATTGTATTCTGCATCTCTGATTTACTTGCAAGCTTTTCTCTTTTACGTATATTTTAGCAGAGCTTATTTGGATGTTGCAGACTCTTCCACGGTAATTGCCCTTATCTGCAAATGAACAAACACAATACCTTGTATATGTGGTAGGAAGTAGTGCCTTCCAGTTGCTGTTGCCTTCTTGATTTTTAAAAAAAAAACACTCGGGAGTTTGGTTTTCAGGGAAAAGGGGTGAACACTGTTCCTCTATTTTTAGTGTTTCAAGTATCTAATGGCAGTTTAGTAGAACTCTACTGAGTAGATGGAAAGCAGGCAAAAATCATTAGTTAGCCCAAATTTTATATTCTTTCAGAAAATAAGGCACTACCTGCACTGCAGTAGCTCATTACAGATATTCTGATTTGTTTTGGTATCTCTAATTATTTCATGTATAATTCATGTACTTGGATAAACGAACAGTGTAAACTCAGTTACAAGAAAGGGCATATAGCCAACTAAAATCCTAATATTGTATCTAGCAAATGAAACTAATATTTTATATATCTGGGCAGGATAGCCTAAAATAGGGGAGAGGTCCTAAAGCTCTTCAACTATTGCTGTAAAATATCATTTCTAGCATCCTTCCCTATTAGCCATTTTAATGGAAAGTATTGGGAGAGTCAGCAATATCTGGTGGCAACTGGTCCTTAAAATATAACACCAAAACAATAGAAGCCTGTTAAGGCATGGAGACTCATTATTGTTTTTGAATTATTTAATAACATGTGGTTAGGTAGATGCAGAGAAAAATTGGGGGGGGGAAACATGAGGTAACTTATGTGACTTTTACCAATCAAACGGCAAATTCTCACTTTAACCATTATTTGAGCGTAACCTTTTTTCAACTTACAGGAAGTGCAAGTTAAAGCAGTCCTAGACATTCTTACTCTTGAAGGAAAATGTATGCCCTAATAGCAACAGCACTTACACATATATACAGCTTCATAGTGCTTTACAGCACTCTCTAAGTGGTTTACAAATGTCAGCATATTGTCCACAGCAATCTGGGCATCATTTTACCAATCTTGTAAGGATGGAAGGCTGCATCAACCTCGAGCCCCGTCAGGATCGAACTTCTGATTATGGGCAGAGTCAGCCTACAATACTGCATTCTAACCACTTGTGCCACCAAGGATCTAATAGATCTGTGTAAGATGATTCTTCTTCCTGGTCCAGTACTACATCAATGATCAGTTGCAGAGCCCCTTTGGACGGGAGCAATGGTTAAAACAGTTCAAGTAACTTTTAATACTGTTTCTCCCAGCAGCTGCAACAGAAGAACCAGAAGTTATTCCAGACCCAGCCAAGCAGACTGACCGCGTAGTGAAAATAGCAGGAATAAGTGCTGGAATCCTTGTCTTCATTCTCATCCTCCTCCTTGTCATATTAATTGTCAAAAAAAGGTAAGTCTGGTAAATTTGCCATTTTCTTTTAGTTCAAATAAGTGATAAGAAATTTGTTCATAAATCATTGTAGGAAAATAGTACCAGGGAGAGCATCCTTATCACAAAGTCAGAAACCAATACTCTACTGTAGAAATCATTTTTTTTTAGTATTGAGTTGTACAAACTGTAAACACAATGATTGGTGAAATTGAAATAATACCTTTTTATTTTCATAACATTTCTTATATTTTATTAGTTTAAGCTGAACTTGTTGTTTCAATTAGCCCTGCTTATTCTCTTGTATTATGAAATGTCTGGCCTACTTATCTTGGAAAATATTTTACAGGCTATGTTGCCTTCATTTGTATTTTTATAAGTGATGAAAGTTATAGTTAAAATCACATTACCTTACCATAAATTTTCCATTGGGTTATAGACCTGCAGACCTTAAAATGCAAAAGTATATTAAATGGTGTCTCATTTCTTAAAAAAAAAAGAAAGAAAAGAAATCTTAGCAATTTCAAAGTAACAACAAAAATCAATAGCACCACCTTCTGGAATTAGAAGTAATTCTGAAAGAAAAAAATCTATAATTTTTTTTTTTTTTAAAAATGCATTTTATTGGTAAGTTTCATACACTTTGTTAATTGACACACATTTTCATAATCAACATATGTGACTCAATGAATTGTTTTCAGATCTTTTTTTCCTTGCTGTTTCTGTATCTCACATTTGAATGAGCATATGGCTGCTTAATATGAAGCTGCTTATGTCAAAAGTGATTTGTTCCATCTAGCCTAGGACTGATGGATAGAAAGCTACTTCTTTAAAATATCACTTAAAGGTCTCTCATATCACCTGACACTTGTGATCCCTTAACTGGAGATGATAAAAATCATATGCAGAATTTATGGATTCAGAATATTTGTTCTATCAACCGAGCTGTAGATGTCTTGCTTCAGAGATCCATTGCAAAATTATTTTTATTCTAGGCAAGGAAGGAATAAAAATAAGGGTATTTTTACATCTCTTATCTATGTTAAAGTGAAATGAATTTTCTGTTCCAGTTTTCCAAGTGGAAAAAAAAACTAGACAACTGTGCCTAAAAATCATATTTATGTCTTAATGGTTTCCAATAGATTTTTTTTAATTTATTGCCTTTTTACAATGATTCCCCTGGAGATATATAACATGGAGGAGAAACGTCTGCATTAGAACCCTTAGGTATGCTAATAGTGTTTTGTGTTAGTTAGACACATATGTGATTTCTCCCAATAGTGCTTTCACTTTTTTTTCCTGTTGTGTACCTCTGTGCTTAAAAATAAATGTATATGCTACAAACCAGTTCATAGAAAAATGATGATAAGTCCATCTGTGGAAATTAAGGGGCAGATCAGTAAATAGCTGCCTTGCTTTTTAGCTGGAAGTTCTCCTTGACAAACGATGAAGAAATGTGATCGTCAGAACTGTAAAGACAGGCCAGTGAGAAATGTCCTCAGAATATCAGATAGCCAACAGCTGCTCCTGGGGATGTGACACTTCCTTACAAACCTATCATAATGTCAGCACTCATGCTGACATTTACACCAAACTATTAGATCTTTCTGTGAGGCTAACCTGTGATCAATTATAATGGCTTTTCCACTAGCAACGCTGAGGACACAGTTAGTTGTATATGTTTTAAAGCTGCTTTCATAAAATAATTGGGCCAGCAGAGTAAACGTTATATTTGCGAGTGATCATGGAGATACAGATCTTATACTCTGGGGGGGAAAGCCTTTGAGATTTCCTTTAAGTCCAGCTCAAAGAATAGGCTGGACATTTTGCGATTCACTTTGCTTAATATGGGGGAGCATCTCTGCCTTGGAGGTTGGTAAGCTTGGATTCACCAGCATTCTGGTGAATTTCAGCTATGATCCACAGAAAGTTTTCAGTTCTCATTTCATTTCCAGTAGGGAGAACACTTCCACACTGTTACAAACTACACTTTGCAGAAGTAGACAGTTTGTCAACAGTTTCTTAAATTATGTTGGAGGAGTCATTTTGCAGGGGGTGGGGTGTGGGGGTTTCTTCCTATTTGAGGAAATCAATTTCAGTGGAAGAGTATTATCAGATGCACGGTCCATTACCTGATCTAGTTCATCAGCATCTCATGTTTAATTTGCACGACATTTTCATAGCTATGTGCCACCTTTCCTAATTTATCATGTCATTAATAAGTTTGCTGACCTTGCAATGTGTAAACCTTTATCACATTGATCTATTTCATAATGTGCAAGAATTTTCTCATGAACTCTATTAATTCAGATTAAAAGGAGATGGATGGAAACCTTTCCCATTTGTTACATTAAGTAGACAGCAATTCTTTGTCTGGAATTTTCACAGAAGTATTATTGGAGAGTGTTATCAGCCCTGAAAATCCCACATTTCAATTTCTTATTTTAGTTGGATTTAGATTTATTTGGTATTGGATTCACATGTTTCTTCTATGAGTTGATAAACTACCTATAGTAAAAGGTAAAGGAGTCCCTGTAGGTTTTACTCTGCTAATAGTAGCCGACTTTAGGGACAGTGTTCAACTCTCTTTCTTTAAGCCATTGAGCCAGTGCTGTCCGAAGACATTTCTGCAGTCATGTGGCCAGCATGACATCATGCCACAGCACAAAGCATATGGTGAAACATGGATCATTGTTACCTTCCCATCAAAGTGGTACCCATTTATCTATTTGCGTTTACATGCTTTCAAACTGCTGGGTTGGCAGGAGCTGAGGCACATGACGGGAGCTTATTCTCTGCATTAAGTGATAGGACTTTAACTGCCAGAGTACAGACCTTCTCCAGCGTCTTTTAAGCCATTAAGCCACCGCATCTACACTAACTATAGTATATTGCTATAAAATTCTTTAACACCAAAATCTGAAACATGGTTAAATTAGGTAGCAATTTTTATTTAATTTAATTTTTTCTAATGAGAATAACTAGTCTGATAGAAAAGCCACTCAGTTTCTTTCTTCCCTTCCAAAATAAGCAAGTAAACAGACATCTTTACACAACACCAGCATACAGAAAAGAGTGAAAAAGTTCAGTCAGATGTGCATTACAGGGCGAATCACTAACTAGTCCCCTTCTTTATTTGATCATATCACTCCATAGTGGCTATTTTCACCTAAATCCAGTGAAAATTAGCTTGAAAAAGAGATAAATGAAAAAAATAATAATTCCTCCGTCCTGAAACTTTAGCTGCTACCATCCTTAGCTTGGTCTGTTGTCGGAAGTCAAATTTACAAGGGTTTTCAAAAGCAGAGTTAGCATGGGGTCATGTGGCTAGTACATTACCTAGCTTGGCTCTTGGACACCCTTCAAGATCCCTTCCCCACCGAAAAGACATTTGAAGATAGAGATGGAGATAGATAATGGATAAGTATCCAATAAGCCATTTGTGTGAGCAGCTTTCGGTTGGATTCTTACACAGGTTATAATGATGTACAGTACTTAAATTTATCCTGATTTTCTGATCACCCACTTTTCAAGCAGCTTTTTAACATGGAACTGCAGCCAAAAAACTAGCATCTTTTTTTAGCATAAGTGGAGATTTGAATCCATTTACTAACATTTCCTATCTTGCCCACACATACATAAGCATATACTTTCTTACCTTAGTTTCAACCCATTGGTTCCTGTGATACTTGATTCTTCCATGGAGCTCTTTCTTCTCTTTCTGACTAGATTGATGTCACTGGACAAAAGGATCCATCCAGGCCTCCATTTTAATTGGATTCTTAATGAATCCATTCTCCTGTGAATTACAGAAACTTATATTTTTGCTGAATAAAGAAATATTTCTTTACATACATAGCAGCATGTAAACACAATGGTCTTAGAAAATGCTTTCTGCTTTAACCCTAAGTGCTTAGTGTATTCCAGGTGCTATAAAACAATTATATTGATTATAATTCTGTACATACAAATTAGAGATTCCATTATGTGGTATCCCTTTTGATACATCAACATTTTTAGAAAACTCAGAAAAATGCTTCTGAATTTCACACGGATTTAACAGCTTTAATTTTGCCTAGCTTTTCAAATTTGAACTAATAGGGGAGGGGAACATTGATTGGTAAACACTTACTTATGATTTCACAAATCAGAGATGTTCTTATGCTTTGCCTTATCATTTTGTGCCGATTTTGAAGTGGATGGAAACTCTATTAGTTACTATAGAGTTTTACAAAGTTATACAGCTGAATTTTAAGAAAAGGGATACTGCATCTCTTGAATAGCAACGACTGGATTTTTTTTAACCATTGTTGAAATATTTCCAAATGTACATCATCTCCTTCCATTTGTTTATTTCTCATCTTTGAAGCTAGGTATGCATATATCAGTATTTTCAGTTTAAAGATTTTAAAACAGCAGCTGTGCGTGTATATATGGGTTTAATATACACACACATTTACTGTAGAATGCCAGAGCATAGCACATTGGCTGCATTCATACATAATATTAAGCCTCTCTGTCTTTAATTCTCCCCCCCTTTTTTTGGATGAGCTATAGTTGCCTGGTTGTCACATAATACAAATGCCATAATGACTTTATTTGCACATCATTCATCTGAAAACCAATAAAATATTATGGCTTAGCAAAAATTTGCACCTGTATACCTGTACGTAGTTGTCTTACAGTAGTTGTTGCTTAACCTGTCTCTGCCACTACTAGTCTTTGAGTTTGTAACTGAAAGCTAAAAGAGAAAAGAAAGAAACTAAACTTTAGAGCACAAGAACTGTACACAGCTGTTTTGTATTTCATAGCATTTAGATACTGTAGTTAATCAGCCATCACATTTATGCTGCATGCTGAACTAACATAACCCAGTTTGGTTTCCATTTTTTTTCTGCAATAAATGAGGTGTTAGCATGTCATTTTTCTCCAGTGAACTCCCTCTGTTCTTGAAACCTTTTTTTATGTGCTAACATATTTTTTTTAATTGCATGGCTCTGTGAGGCTAATCAGTGCATGAG